GAGATATGTATGTATGTGAAATAGGGGTGCAAATTTTGAGAAATAACATCGATACATCGATGTCTCGATACATCGGAGAAATCAACATCGATGCTAAAATACAAAAATACATCGCCAGAAAATCATCGATACATCGATGGATTCCGATATTTAACAATTTGTTGGGCCCTAGTGGGATTAAGATACATTTATTCTTTTTCAATCCCAAAAAACACAGTAGGGCGGTTCAGCATCTTGTACATATGCTCTTGCATTTGCATATCGTTGCATTTGTAAATTCACAACAATAAAATGCACACGGTTACCATGGCAGCCAGCATAAACTGAGCAAATGCAATTCCAACTGCAAATCCCAGATCATTTCCCCAACATCCTGAACAACCCTAGTCTTCTGATATACAGTGAGGGAAACGCATACATATGGATCAATTTCCCGGTATTTAATTAACCTTCTACTAAAACATACATATGTAGATATGTATAATGTAAATTCATGCAATGGTGAGGTCGCTGGGTCCCAAATTTACAAGGACTGAGTTCTTTGGAATTTTATTAGCCCGCATAATGAGTATTTTCTATCGCAGAGCAATAAATTTTTCACAGACCGGTGGTCGGTCCGTTTTAAGTGTTGGGCATTCTAAAAACTGCACACTGAAGAATGATTAATACAAAGTTTTAGAAAAATAATGGATAAGTTGAATCAAAAGGAAGTGTCAATCACACTAAATTCGATTTTCAAAACATCGTTGAAACTGACAACGATGTATCGTCAATTTAGCGATTTTAGAAAATTGTAAATATCGCTGGCAAACATCGAATTTTGAACCGATATTATCGATGTTTCAAAAACATCGACGCATCGTCTACATCCCTAATGTGAAATCAATCCGTATGGAGAAGAGTAAGAGTTATTGCACAAGGAGGCGAGACAAGTCCCATGCAAATTTATTTTTTTTATGCTGCATATTTCTGGAGACGTTTATTGCAGAGGACTGGAATTTGGCGTAGAGAAAAATTTAGGTCATTCGAAAAGGTAGCGTGGTATCTCCTGGACAAAATAACTATTTTATACTGCATATCTCTAGAGTGTTTATGGTACAATAAGAAAAGGGGTCGTGGCACTTCCCGTACAAATTGACTGTTTCTTACCACATATCCCTGAAAGTGTTTGTAGAAGAATAATGGAACTTGGTATGGAGTTATGTATATAAAATGTATCCATTGCTCATGGAAAA